AACTAGCTCCAGTTCTTTCGCGTCTCTTCCAGATATCTTATAAATCCAGAAAACTGTAAATTCGCTGATGTACAACCTATCCCAAAATAAGGATCTGAAACCGACCCTTACAACTACAGGCCTATAGCTATGCTTTCTGTTATAAGTAAGGTGATGAGAGGTGCCTAAATCGTGAGTTTCTGGACTACCTCGAACGTATCGACTTGATTAGCGACAGCCAGTATGGTTACCGACACCAGCGATCCACAGGGGACCTCCTAGCTTACGTCACACAATTGTAAAGTAAGCTAATCCAGTATTACGGTGAGGCTTATGTCGTTGGTCTTGATATCACGAAAGCGTTCAATCAGCTGTGGCATGCTGCCCTCTTATGCAAACTTCCATCCCATGACCTCCCAGATAGGCTTTGCAGATGGGTGGCTGACTTTCTCTCTGGACGCAAGGTATCCGTCATGATTGACGGGATCTCCTCTTCATCCCGCAAGGTCAACGCGGGTGTTCCCAAGGGATTGGCATTGGCTCCGACACGGTTCTTCTTGCATATCAACGACCTCCTCTCCTGTACGATCAACCCAGCTTCGCTGATGACAGCACTCTACATGCAGGAATTCAAAGTGACAAGGCGACCTCTGCTGCTGAGCTGGAAAAAAGAAGATTAGCGACGATTTCTTCTCTGACGGGAGACCTGGAGGTTATCACGGCTTGGGGACGCAACAATCTTGCACAGTGTAATGCTTCCAAAACACAGTACCGTACCGTGATGAATAAAAAGCGTCCTAGCGCTCATACGGTTCCGATCGATGGCCGGGTTCTGCCAAAGAACCGTTCATTTAGGCTAATCGTAGTCCAGATCACCGAGGACTTGATCTCCCATGAACACATCTTGTCAGTAGCGGCAGCTGACGGGAAAAAGCGAGGCTATTTGTGTGGGGCTAAGAAGTACTTCCGCATGATCTTCTCACTCCATACAAGGCCCAGAAAAGGCCTAGCCTCGAGTATTGCTCACACGTTCCCTCCCCGACTACATTATCTAAGTAGTTGTTGGAGGCCGAATCCTCTACTCCCGGGGAGCGAGGGGTGTTTAAATTCCGAGTCCTCCCAATGACCATCCTCATAGCATTGGAAACGTGTTGTTTAATAGAAATGAGTCGACGGATAGTGTCCCCCCTCCCCACCTCCCTCCCCCCCTTACTATAACTCATCGACCGGGCGAACGAGCAGCAGCGCTCTTTTCCCACTTCAATCTCGTCATCCCTACGCCTTAATCCCATGATATGACCATTCTTTACCCTCTCAGTCGTCGTGTGCGGTGGGGTAAGGGGCGGAGGGTGTTTAAATTCCGACTCCTCTCAATGACCATCCTCATACCATCAAAAACGTCTCGTTTAATAAAAATGTGGAGTCGACGGGCGATGTAATCCATTGTTGCCCTCTCAATCACCGTGTGTGGTGCGATATTTTTTGTAGACTACTTGAACTCTTCTATGCACCTGTGCAGTAACGTAATCTAACTCTCCTCAGGTAAATAGCTCGACGGAACCCATGGTAGTGCGGTGTGGTAAGGGGCGGTGAGGTAAGGGGCGGGGTTGTTTAAATTCCAAGTCCTCTCAATGACCATCCTCTTAGCATCGAAAACGTGTTGTTCGACAAATTTGTATCGTATAACTAGCTCGAGGAAGGCATTGTTACTCTCTCAATGACCCTGCTAATTGTAAAACCACACAGCAGTTCGGTCCCCGTATCAAGAACTGTAAAACGTTTTCGTGCTTCGGTCCTCAGATCATGAACGCGTTTATAACAGAAAAGGAGTCGTCGATGGAAGGTGTTGTTAAGGCATTGTTGTCCTCACAATGGCCATGCCGATTTTAAAGTCTCTCAGCTGTTCGGTGCAGAATAATTGAAATGTTGACTACATATTTTTTTTGTGGCCCACCCGAAATTTATCTGGGGGTTGGGTTGTTCAAATGTCTTAGGGTATGCAGCGGTGCTGTAAGGTAATCTAACTCTGATAGTTATTATATAAATGGTGGAACAACAACAGCTTTGATCATTCAAATTCAGCCATTTAACATCGATAAGTGACTAAATAATATTCTTGAAGTACCTAACAGATAGAATTTGGTGAGCATCCCTTTATATTATTTATCCAACACTATATTTATTTTTTTAATAATGTCTATCACTACATCAGCCTTGCATGACAACATGCAAGGGGTCTACGTCAGCGAAAAAGAATTTGGGGGTCCATGAAATGAATATGGGGGTCCACGATAGTGGATCTCAACACATACACTGATAGTACCTATTTGCTTACATCATACTATCTTATAATATCAAAACATATACATTATTTATAAAAGTTCCTGTGAAGTAAAAAAATTATTATATATGTTTATAAAATTGTGTAATTTGTAGGATGTTGGTATTCGCTTTGTGGTCGCAATAGATTTTGAACTTGTAAAAACCTGAGAGTCGCAGTCTCAGAGCTTCCCTACCTTGCACTGACTTGTTCAATGCGTCACTCTATAAATACGAGTGTGGGACAAATACGTTTATTCGTTTCCTGAATCTTGAAAAGGAAAGTGCTAAGAAAATATTTTAAAAAATATAAACAGATAGTATATCACACAAATTATAGTGAGTCAGTGTTATTTTGTTTGAGAGTGCTGGAGAAAAGTAAGTACATTATTTTTTATTGAATTTTAGTTTTGTACTCATAGTTAGCAAAGGTAGATAAATTACGCCAATCATGACTTTAGTTATTAGTAGTTAAATATTCAATCATGCAAAATTACACGAGTACTCCTCAATAGCTTCTTTTTGAAAGTTTTAGCAATCGGTAATATGATTACAGTGCAATCTCCGTAATTCGAGCTAATTGTTGCAAGAAGATGTTCGAATTATGGAATGTTTTCGGAAAAATCAAAAAATATTTTTAATATACAGCTGCTGGATTTTCTGTCTTATTTAAATAATTTAATTTTGACCACAGATGACTGATGTCATGTCCGAATCTAAAAAGAAATGTGGACAGTACAGTGTTGATTATTTGAAATTTGGCTTCATTCCATCATTGCCGGACAAACAATCGCCTATGTGCCTTTTATGCAACAAAGTCTTGGGCAATGACGCTATGAAACCATCTAAACTGCAAGATCATCTGAGAAGATGCCTCCCTGATAAAACAGAGAAAGATTTTAAATACTTTCAAATACTCAAAGATAAATTTCAGAAGAGACCTACACTGGACAGAATGTTCGCTTCGACGTCACAAAGAAATGATGATGGTTTGCGGGCGTCTTACAATATCTGGTTACTTATAGCAAAATCCGGAAAACCGCATACTATCGGAGAGAAGTTAATTTTGCCAGCCGTTGAAGAGGTTTTAAAAACTGTTTTACACAAACCTGCATCTGATATCATTAAAAGAATTCCCTTAAGCAACAATACTGTTGAAAGACGTATTGATGAAATGAGTTCTGGTATTGAAAGCTTCTTATGTAATTATTTGCAAACGACCCATTTCTCTATACAACCGGACGAGTCAACTTTACCTGATAATGCAGCATTATTATTGGCATATGTTCGTTTTATTATGAATCAAGAAATCTACGAAGAACTGCTCTTCGCAAGAACTTTGATAACCGACACTAAAGGTGAATCAATATTTCATGTTTTGAAGGATTACTTCATTGAAAAAGCAATTCCTTTATCAAATATAATATCAGTAGCTACAGATGGAGCACCTGCCATGGTTGGACGTTATCGTGGATTTATAAGCTATTTAAAACAAAATGTGTCAGGGGTGTTAGCAATACATTGCGTCATCCATCGACAACATTTAGTTGCTAAATAATTGAGCGTTAGATTGCATGAGGCGTTTTGAGGTTTTTTTTTCTTCATCAAGAACCTCAATACTGCCATAATTCATAGAGTGACCTGTGTTGTTAATATGAGGTGCCAAAGTTATCCTGCCTTTCAGCGACCTAGAAGTTTGGCCTATATAAACTAAATTACAGTTGTTGCAATTAATGCGATAAACAGCGTTGCTTGAATCAAGCAACTGAACCTTATCCTTCATTTTGGACAACAAACTGTTGACTGTGAGCACTGATTTTCAAGCAAAACGACAATTAACGGCCTGATCCATTTTGGTGTTGTTTCTTTGATGTATGGCAAGACAACATAATTAACTCTGGAAATAGGGGCACCCACTGTAGTGCTGTTATTCTCATTGGTTGAAGAATTCATGGATATCTGGTTGGACTGAGCAGTGTTGTGATTTTCACTATTGTTGTTCGTCATTGGCAAAATATTCGGAGGAGAGCTGAACAAGATTCTGTTAACCAAATACTTAGGATAGCCATTGTTGATGAATAATACTGAAAGCTTCCTTAAATTGGAAAGATGGAAGGTACTGTCAGAGATTTGTATAACCCTGTTCTTCATTTGTTTTACCAGGTTTATTTTTATTTTAAGTTCGTGGTAAGACCTGATGTTCAGGAACCTTGCGGAAGAAATTGGTTTCCTGTACCAGTCTACCAGTAATATATTGTCATTGCTACGAATCAATCTTGAATCCAAAAAGGGAACAGATTGATTGTCATCTTCTTTTTAGATGGCGAACTGGATGTAGGGATCATAAATGTTAAAAACCTCAACAATATCCTAAGGAAGACAAACGATAATATCGTCCACATACTTTTTTATGAAAATTAGATTGTATGGCAATACTTGAATAACAACATCAAGCAGGTCATCCATTACATATTCTGCCAAAATTGGAGATAACACAGAGCCAATGAGGCAGCCATGTGTTTGTGAAAACACTTTGTTATTAAAGGTAAAATAATTGTTCTGGAAAAGGTACTCTACGATATTGATGAAAGAATTAGGTTGCTGTGTTGGCAAATTTGATCCCAATGTTTGTTGATGGATCTGATGCAAGCTTCTAAATACACATTGCTGAACAAGGTAAATACCTTGCAATCTCACACAGAAATCATCTAAGGTTATAATTAATCATATCACTACAAAGCTGCTCAATAGTACAATCTTCTTGTAGATACTGCGCACACAACTTCTGCCCTTCCTCGTATTTCTGAATTAGTCTCCTGATCCTTTCAACCTCGTTATCATCCCAACAAATATTCATGTCGTAGTTTGTTGAATGTTCAGCGACATGCATCAAATCCGTTAACTGGCACACTAATCTCATGATAGCTGTACGTAGATCCTTTGAATCAGGCCAACGCAATGATGCATAATGCATCCACATCTTGTCAAACCAAAGGGGGGTACTGCTTCTGGAAAGATAAATATAATGGTCAATATCAAGTGGAACATGATATTTGTCAAAACAACTTTACCTGTTGCATTTTCCTAACCCAGTTGCAATCTGAATCTTTATATTACTTATCCCCAACATATTTCCCTGTACTACCTCATATTTTTTAAACTAATTACTACTGTCAACGAAGTCAAACTTTATTAAAACATTTTGAACGACTACCTGGTGTCTTTGGTGAGCTTTGGCCAATATACACTAAAGAATATTTGTTTAGGGACTCATTTATATCTTTAATCATAACTTCGGGCATGTTTTCCAACACTCTTCTAGGTAGCCAAACCCTAAACTGGCCAGAATAAGAATCAAGACTAGGTATTGCCGAAACTTTGATTGAATACTTGAAATATTCTTAATAGGACAAGATTTGTTTACAGTTAATGATGATAATGTTCTAGATGGTATATTGTGGTCAGATTCGCAATTTATTTTATTGTTTATTTCATGCAAGGCTGAGGTAGTGATAGACATTATTAAAAAAATAAATATAGCGTTGGATAAATAATATAAAGGGATGCTCACCAAATTCTATCTGTTAGGTACTTCAAGAATATTATTTAGTCACTTATCGATGTTACATGGCTGAATTTGAATGATCAAAGCTGTTGTTGTTTCACCATTTATATAATAACTATCAGTGTTAGATTATCTTACAGCACCGCTGCATACCCTAAGATATTTGAACAACGCAACCCCCAGATAAATTTCGGGTGGACCACAAAAAAAATATATTGTGAACATTTCAATTATTCTGCACCGAACAGCTGAGAGACTTTAAAATCAGCATGGCCATTGTGAGGACAACAATGCCTTAACAACACCTTCCATCGACGACTCCTTTTCTATTATAAATGCGTTTATGATCTGAGGACAGAAGCACGAAAATGTTTTACAGTTCTTGATAAGGGGACCGAACTGCTGTGTGGTTTTACAATTAGCAGGGTCATTGAGAGAGTAACAATGCCTTCCTCGAGCTATTTATACGATACAAATTTGTCGAACAACACGTTTTCGATGCTAAGAGGATGGTCATTGAGAGGACTTGGAATTTAAACAACCCCGCCCCTTACCTCACCGCCCCTTACCACACCGCACTACCATGGGTTCCATCGAGCTATTTACCTGAGGAGAGTTAGATTACGTTACTGCACAGGTGCATAGAAGAGTTCAAGTAGTCTACAAAAAATATCGCACCACACACGGTGATTGAGAGGGCAACAATGGATTACATCGCCCGTCGACTCCACATTTCTATTAAACGAGACGTTTTTGATGGTATGAGGATGGTCATTGAGAGGAGTCGGAATTCAAATACCCCCGCCCCTTACCCCACCGCACACGACGATTGAGAGGGTAAAGAATGGTCATATCATCGGATTACGGTGTAGGGATGACGAGATTGAAGTGGGAAAACAGCGCTGCTGCTCGTTCGCCCGGTCGATGAGTTATAGTAGTTGGGGGAGGGAGGTGGGGGGACACTATCCGTCGACTCATTTCTATTAAACAACACGTTTTCAATGCTATGAGGATGGTCATTGGGAGGACTCGGAATTTAAACACCCCCCTCCCCTTACCCCCCCCCCCGGGAGTAGAGGATTTGGCCTACAACAACTACTTATCGTTGCTCCAGAGAAGGGTTGTCCGACTAATCGATGAGTCTTCTCTAACAAACAGTATCGGGACTCTTTCACACCGGCGGCTGTCAGCGATCAAGTTTTATTCTACCGCTACACCAACGGGCTTTGCTCCTCAGAGTTTTCTTCCATGATGCCGCCGCACGATGAGCCTGCCATACAGACCCGGCTGCTTCCGTAAGAATTAAATGACTACATTAAAAGCTTCCTACTTACATTGTATGTTGGCTGTGGAGATAGTGCAGCATAATCACTAGTTGCGTTCGGCACTTCAAAAGGATTTAAGTATAAAAAGGGCGAACTTTAATGGAAATACCAATGTAGCCAAAAATGGTGGAAATAGACAGCGGACAAGTGGAGAAAAAATGCAGAAAATCGCGAAGTGTGGCAACAGTGTTGTTTTGTCCAGATGTCACGTGACTCAGTCGCGACTAGGATAGTGATGGGACATTTTATTTATACTGTTCGGTGGACGAAAATAACTGAATGACTCGGCACACTGCAAGTGGGGAAAGTGATTTTTCTTATGTACCAGAAGGAACTAAAGAACAGTCAAATAAGAATTCCATCTGATGCATGAAACATCTGTCGAAATCAGGTTTGAGTGTTGTGTGAAAATGTTTTATTGACATCGATGAATTTCTAGAACATTCAAAGGTCTGAAAAATCTTTGAAAGATTTGAAAATCTCCAGAAAATATATAAACGTAGCCAACAGTCAAGCGAGTCAAATATCTTTCGGAAGCAAGTATCCAGAACCACAGGCGCCAGGGGCGCGGGGGAAAGTGGAAAATCTCTGACGTGTCAGGCAACTTGAGGTAAGATGAGATTGTAACTGAGAAAGTGGCCAAAATAGAAGCTACTGAAATCAGCCTTGTGTGGTCTAAACTGTTACATATTACCAAGCTATTCAATCGCGTGAAGGCAGTGTTGGATTGTTGCCTATTCCAAATTCTTATAACAGAACCAATTTATATATTAATGTTTTTTTGGTGCGCATTTTGAACTAGTGTTTCACTCAGTGTAGAAACATACAGAACTTGAAGCAACTCGGGCTGGTGTTGTCTACTGTCTGCCTCGATTTCCATCTTTGAATGCAGCCGTGCTATTTGCTCGTGGTTTACTATTATTCTTTTCGATGTTTCATGATAGTAACACGGAAAAGGACATAGAAATGAAAAATATGCTTCATTGACAGATTACTGCACACGTCACGACATGAGAGTTGTTTAATGTTGTTTTGTTGGTAACTTCAGGATTAAAGGTATTAACTAAGGTAGAGTATTATAAACACAAAAACTGCGCTAACCTTATCAGAAGAAAACACTATATCTCTGAGCCACAGAAGCAAAGCGAATCTCAGGCTTTCGATTCTCCCATCACTAGTGCGATGAAATGACAATTTGTCAATCCATGGATTACTTGAAATAGTGATGTGCTTTCTAGTTCTTTGTATCAAGTTGCATTCAGTTCTAGAAACTGGTTCGTGAACAAACTACTTTATGCAACAGTACCATAAAAAATATATGTACCGAAACAGAGCAGAGCAGTCTGTCAGTCGAGATAACGTAAAAACGATTCAATTCATATCTTTTAACTGTTCCGATGCATTCCACTGATTTCAAATGTATCCTTCCATCACTAACATTGTGAGACACTAAGTTTAAATGTCAATTGTTCCTTGGTCTATTTTCCAACGTTACTGTAGTCTATGTTTTGTGGTCACTTGTCACTTGTTTTGAGCTTGTTTTGTTATTTCTAAACAATGTATTTCCGGAATAAAAAGTGTTCTCTCCAAGATCTTTTTTGTGCAGAATTACATATTACACTGTCGTGTACAGTTCAATCTGCACTAACCCCGAAATACGTGGTTATGTACCATGTACCATCACCGATGGACTGATACGCTGAAATCAAAATAAATAAAATGCAACTGCAATTGAATGTATGAATGAAATCTTAAACAGTTTCGGACCAGTGGTATCAAAATGTCGTTGAGGAATTGGAAATAAGTGGAATGTGTTGAAACGCAACACCTAACAAAAATTTGAGTGAAAAGGCTTTTTCATGTAAGAATTTAGAAGTGCAAGTTTGCAAAGGTTGGATAAACTATTAACACGCAGTAGGTGTTGTTCAGTTAATATAATCACATATGGATTACAAAAGTTGCAATAAACATGGAGAAACCTTCAGCTAAACTGAAAAAAAATGGATTTTTTCACAGCTAAGCATTTTTTAAATTGTGGCTCAGTTTTATATAATTTCATAATATTTAATAAACTGAAAACATTTCAATGGCAAGCTGTCACTTCATATTTTACAGTGTTCTGTTTTTAATACTTTGATGCTGGTTGCTGCCAAAAATTTGACGGACAGATCTTGAGGCTGATTGGGTATATTTGAGGGACTGTTCAGTACTCGTACCCTATTGGTGCAGAATAACGATTTGTCAAATGGTGCAATCGGCCCTAAATTTATTTTTCTGTTTTTATATGCATATTTATCAATCACGTCTTCCAAATTTATTTCTATATCCTTTTAGATAAATAACAATCCAAGTGCAGAAAATCTTTTTTCGTCCCTAGAATGTCGTAGCCAATTCAAAATGATCCGCATAATAGAGAATGACCTCTCGCACGTGGCAGACGTCACTGGTAACGTTATTGCCACTTGAAACGAAAGTATTTACTGACTGAAAGATTTCTGGTTTCAGTTCATTTCGAGGAGTTTCATAAGATGCATCCTTTCGTCCATTAGCTAAGAATACCGTTTGGGAGGGCATTACCATCATGTTTGTGACCATCGGGTTTGGGGGGCTAATCTTGAGCTTAGGGGGCTAAGCCCCCCCTCCAGCCCCCCCTTATTGCGACACTGGCTGTAACCTGGGCCAAGCAGTCAATACTATTATTGAGACTTTTGATAAGGTCCGCCTGGCCTGCAATTTGCTGGGCCTGCTATTCGTTTATATCCGTCAGCCTCTGGATGGTAGAATTGCTGCTGTCATCTGCCATAGGGGGGTTTTCATCTTGCTTTCCAATATTATATGTAGTTCTGGTAGAGGCTGCATTGCTGGTGGAGGACCGACCATCCTCCCACCCTTCCGCGACCACTTCCATCTTTTCTCTCGCCTTTTATTCACAAAAATGGAAAAATCTCGCGGAATAAACCCTGTTACTGCGTTCACCTGGTCTGTGAACCCGCACGGGTATTATGTAAAAAACCTAAAAAACGTCAAAAAACCTATAAGGTGTCATCTTGCAGACTAGGTAGTTTTTAGGGTGCAAACAGCCATTCCACATTTGCTTACTAGGATCGTTGTGAGCGTCCATCTATGGAGGAATGGCTCAACTACAGGCATACACGTTTGGTTGAATAGTAAGATCGCATCTGGATGACTGTGTGTATTGGTCTGCATGTGTATAAGATCAGTGATATTTGCTGTGTGAGAAAATCATTACTGAATATGCTGCCATTGAAGTATATTAATTTATTAGCTGTGCCCGAAGGGTTATTTATATGTTGTTGTACATTTTTTACGTTTTTTGTGTTTTCAATAACTTTGACTATAATTACTGTTAGCATGTATATGACTTGTAATTCAACAGTGTACAGTGAATATAATTATTTCTTATCTCCCTCATTTTTTAAATTCAGCAAATTTGCATATTTAATTTCCATAATGGATAAGAAAAAGTGGATGCGCAACTAATTTCTAGCTTTGACTCTCAAGTAAGTGTATTGGAGACAAGAATCCAAAGGAATCATGATCAACACATATTATTAGCACACAAATCCTCACTATGCCGTTACCTCCAGTAATGCCATCTCTGAAGCAGATTTTACATCACATTCTAGCCAAACAACTGAAGCCTCATGTTGTTTAGGCAACACGTACAACTACAAAACGAGTTTACAAAAGTGTCATCGATCAGCTAGTGCTCAGCTATAATTTCAGAAAAATCAATATAACGACGGTTTTCAAGATGCGTAATACCCGTGTTGGCCGCAATACTCGTGATAAAAGTCAGTTGTCAGTCACAGTCCGCGATTTATTCTATCAAAACAAAACAACAAAATATCCCACAGAGGGCT